CCATCAGCATTGCTAGTGGTGCTGCTGGAGGAACAGCCCAGGCAAACCAGCACGTCCTGATCACCCCAGATCACCCCAAATCTTGGGTGGCTTATTGCCCAGAGAGTCTGGACTGAAAACGCAGGCCTTTACAGTCTCCCTGCCCAACCTCCCTGTTTACTACTCCTTGCGCCAGCCACACTGGACCTTCCCAAACCCCACGCATGTTCATCTAGGACTACTGATACTCTAAAGGAAGCCTCACTTCCCTCCAGACCACTCTTATTCTTTTCCCTCAGACTGCAGCTCATTTTCTCCCCACCATTTTTGTTTGTCAGTATCCTCCCTGACCTCCCAGTCTGTCCATGAAGCCTTCCCTGGTGCCCCTCCTACTGCACTGTACTTTGACTGTGCCCCTCGTGCTGCCCAGATCTCACTGAGCTTCATAGCATATAACTAGTTGTCTGTGCCAGTCACCCCAACTAGATTGTGAGCTCCTTGAGGGAGGGAGGGGTCTTAGTCATCTCTCTATCCAGTCATATCCCGGTAAATGTTTGACAGCTGGTTCTGGTGGGTGTGTGGCGGTCATGCGGGGAGTGAGCCTTGATTTGTAGTGTCTGACGATTCCCATGTTGTAAATATTCCTACCGCTGTTGCGTTCCACCTAACAATGTGACCTCACTGAATGTGGTGTTGGGAAAAGATGCACCCAAGCAGCTCTTGTGAGCTCTAGGATGGTGACCCCTTACTCAGTTTGACTGGGGAGCCTAAATTTTTGATTTTGAACATATACTGAATTTAAGCTAGTAGACCTCTGTGTGAAGATATGCATAAACTATTGGAAATATGGAGAGAAGGGGAGAAGACCAGGCCAGAGATAAAAGTTTTTAGTCATTTGCTTATTTTTATTTGAGAACATCTAGGAAAAGTAAGAACGGAAAGAAAATAAAGACCAGATGTTTCAAGTTTTTCATGTAAAATGTGTTGAAATTGTCTTTCCAGCTTTTTAAAATTTATATTTAGTATTTATAATTAAAGTGATTCAAAATTCAGGAATGCTCATGCCAGTGAGTTAAGTAATCATTTATGATAAAGTAAAAATATCCTGACACACAAATGTTTAAGTGAAATAAAGTAGTGTGTTTTTTTATAATGGTTTCTTTCCCTAATAAGAACAACAAAAATCTTCAAATTGTCCACAGATAAGAAAGAAGTGGTTTGTACTTCACTAACTTTAGGAATGTTTCTATTACTTTTTAAAATAAAGCAATTAGTTGTGGATGTAACTGAAAAGTTAACCTGGTGCTGGGACAGTTTGACAGACAGAGAGACTTGCCCCCCACCTCATACCATATTCAAAAGTCAAGTCCAGGTGGACTGAAAGCCTAAACATGAATGGCCACTGTAGGAAGATAACCCAGGAAAATACCTTTATAATCCAGGAGCAGGAAAGATGTCTTAAACTGGATGCACAAAGTGCTAACAATAAAGGAAAAGATTGATATACAGTTGACCCTTGAACATGGTGGGGGGAGGGTATTTAGGGGCACCAACCCTCGCTGCTGTGGAAAATCCCCATGTAACTTCACAGTCAGCCCTCCTATATGCAGTTCCTCCGTGTCTGTGGTTCCACATCTTCAGATTCAACCATCCAGAGACGGTGCAGTACTGTAGTATTTTCTACTGAAGAAAATCCATCTATAAGTGGACTTGCACTGTTCAAACCTGTGTTGTTTCAGGGTCAACTGTACTAGACAAGATTAAAATGAAGAACACCTGTTCATCAAAGACGTTATTATGAAGGTGAAAAGGCAAAGCACGGATTGGAGCACATGCATACATATATACATACAAAGCACACGCATATATACATACAAAGCACACGCATACATACAAAGCACATGCATACATACATACATATATATATATATATATATACACAGAGAGAAAATAATAGATTACATATATTCAATAAACAAAAGAGTATCCAGAAGCAAAATGGGCAATACGTTTGGACAAACACTTTACAGAAGAGGAAATCCAACTGGCCAGTCAACATGAAAAGGTGCTCAACCCATTAGGACACAGGGAAATGCAAATTCAAAACTCAATGAGATACCGCTCATATGCCAGAATGGTGAAAATGTTTCCATTTTTGTTAATTCCAAGTGTGTTGAAGATGTGTGCGCTTGTGCAGGAGGATACTGGTAAAGAATGTTCACAGCAGCACTATTTGTAATAGCTAAAACCCAGAAACAACCTACATGTCCATTAATAGTAAAATGTATGTTTCTAAAAACTGTGATATATTCATGCAATGGAAACCTCTACAGCAATGAGAGTAAACAAACTACAGTCACGTGAGCCAACACGGATTAATCTCACAACATAGAGTTTCGCAAATGAAAATAAACTATGGAGGAAAGAGGCAAGCAAGGAAGTGATTACCGAAAGAGTCATGAAAGTGGTCAACTTCAGGAGGGAGTTGTGACGACCCGGAAGGGCACAGGTTGGCTTCTGGGCTGCTGGCAGTGTTGTTTCTTAACTTGGTGGTTGCAGCAGGTGTTCTCATGATAAAAATTCTTAAACCTGCACAGTTATGTTGTATGCCCTTTTCTTAAATGTTTGATTCCACAAAAACAGGGTTTAAAATTTTAAATCTGAAATATTAAATCATTGCATTATTTTAAAATATATTGCACATGCCCCTTGAGAGGAATATTCTCCTATACCCATGAGGGTTTTGTAATGTAGGAGTACATTTGCATGGAATCAAGATTTTAAAAAGGTGTTTCTCATTAGTAATCTGTACACCAATATTAAAAAGTTTATATTAATAGGGTCTATCCCACCAGAAACTATCCTATAATAATCCAAAGACACCTTATTTTCTGTCCACAAATTCCTTTTTATGAGCCATTTTTTAAATTAAAACTCTTAAAGTTTCTGTTTGGGTTTAAGTGGTTTGTTCTGGAAAACATATTAGCCTTTTAAGAAAGTGGGGCTTTTGGAAACAAAAGCAAAAATAAACAAATGGTACTACATCAAACTAAAAAGATTTGCACAGTGAAGGAAACTTATCAACAAAACAAAAAGGCCACCTACAGAATGGGAGAAGATATTTGCAAATGATATATCCAGTTAGGCATTAATATCCAAAATATACAAAGAACTCATACAACTCAACATTTTAAAAAAACGATTAAAAAAAGGGCAGAAGATCTGAATAGATATATTTCCCCATCTGTATAAGGAAGACATACAGATGGCCAATAGGCATATGAAAAGATGCTCAACATCACTAATCAGGGAAATGCAAATCAAAACCGCAATGAGATATCACCTTACCCCTGTCAGAATGGCCATCATCAAAAAGACAAGAGATAAGTGTTGGTGAGGATGTGGAGAAAAGGGAACCCTAGTACAGCGTTAGTAACAATGTAAGTTGGTGCAGCCACTATGGAAAACACTATGGAGATTCCTCAAAAAAATTAAAAATAGAACTAACATACTATCCAGCAATTCCACTCCTGGGTATTTAGCCAAAGAAAACAAAAACACTAATTTGAAAAGATATATGCACCCTTATGTTCATTGCAGCATTATTTACAATAGCCAAGATATGGAAGCAACCTAAGTGCCCATCAACAGACAACGGATAAAGAAGATGTACATAAACACAATGGAATATTACTCGGCCACAAAGAAGAATGAAATCTTGCCATTTGTGACAACATGGATGGATTTAGAGGGTATTATGCTAAGCGAAATAAGTCAGATAGAGAAAGACAAATACTGTATGATTTCACTTATATGTGGAATCTAAAAAAGCAAAACAAATGAACCAACATAAAACAGGAATGGAGTTATAGACAGAGAACAAACAGGTGGTTGCCAGAGAGGAAGGGGTTGGAGCGAGGAAAGAAATAGATGAGGGAGATGAAGAGGTACAAACTTCCAGTTGCAAACTAAGTCAAGGGTATGAAATGTACAGTGTGGAGAATTTAGTCAATAACTATGTCATATTTTTGTATGGTAACATATTGTAACTAGACTTATGGTGATCAGTTTGAAATGTATAGAAATATCTAACCACTATGTTGTGCAAAAGGAATTAACATGTTGTAGGTCAATTATACTTCAAAAACAAACAAGCTCATAGAAAAGAAGATCACATTTTTGTTTGGGGGGAGGATTGGATGAAGGCAGTCAAAAAGTACAAACTTCCAGTTGTAAGATAAATAAGTGCTAGGGATAAAATGTACATGATAAATATAATTAACACTGCTGTATGTTATATATGAAAGTCTTTTAAGAGAGTAAATGCTGAGTTCTCATCACAAGAAAATTTTTTTTTCTTTAATTTTGTATCTATGTGAGATGATGGATGTTCATTAAACTTATTGTGATAATCACTTCATGATGTATGTAAATCAAATCATTATGCTGTACACCTTAAACTTATACAGTGCTGTATGTCAATCATATCTCAATAAAACTGGAAGAAAAAAAAGGTGGGGCTTTTGGGGTTGTTTTGGTTATTTTAAGTCGTATTTTGGATACTCTATTCTTCCAGTATAGAGGGAATGCATTTGCCTCTGTTGGAACTGGATGTTCACAAAATGATCGTGACTAAAGCTTCGGCTCAAACTGGACCTAGCTGGGCTGCTGATAAGACCGGATGGATCGTTGCTTCAATCAAAGGAGGTAAAGGTGCAGCAACCGCTTGGCTGGCTTTGCTCCATCCAAGGACCTACCGATTCTTACATCTTAGACCACACAGGAATAAAACTCCTCCCACCTTTTTCCAGATAACTCTACCTGGTACAAGTGGGGAAACCTAGACGCAGACAGGAGGCGACGCGCACCCACTTGGCCGCGGACCCAAGCTTGGGGCGGCCAGGGTCCCTGCCCCGCGCTTCCCCTTGTGGGCGTCTCTCCCCGGCAGGGGACTGCGCGCTGCGCCCCGGCGCCCCCGAGTGGAGGGAGAGGTAAGGAAGGCGAACTGGGCAGGCGGGGCGAGGCGCGGTGACAGCGCAGAGCCGGGCCCGCCCCTGGCTCCCACCCCCGGAGCCCACAGCGCCCTCCCGCTCGCGGCCGCCCGGGAGCTCTTCCAGCCCCGCGCTCCCCTCACCCGCCTGCCGCCCGCGCCCTCCCGCCGGCCGCCCGCGCTCGTCCCGCCGCCGCCCGCGCCCGCGCCAGCCCCCGCTGCTCCTCTGACCGGTAAGTGTCCCACCGGCCAGGGGTCCCCCTCGCGCTCGCGGGGCTCCCTGCCCCCTCGCCGGAGCCCCAGCCATATCTGGGCAAAATATTCAGCTGTCGCCGCCGCCGCCAAGAGGGACTGAGCGTGGCTCCCTCTATAAATAGCCGCCGCCTCGGGTTGCCTCCGGGGCTGGGGAGCCCGGGTCTCGGGGTCCGGAACCGGGCGCTCGCATCCGCGCCACTCGGCGCGCGTGGCCCCGGCCAGGGCGCCCTTCCCTCTGGACCCCGACGCCGCGTCTGTAAAAGGGAGAAGGACCTGGGGGCTCTCGAAGAGCAGCGCCGAGGGCGGGGGTCATGGCGGGGCCGGCGTTCCAGCTGCGCGCTTGACTCCAGCGCGCAGTGGCTAGGCGCCGCGGGCGCTCTGTTGGGTACAGGTGCTGCCGAGCGCTGCACTCAGGCGCGGCCTCCCCGCCGGCTGCAGAGAGAGTGGAGGTGGGAGTGGGGACGCATTGGCACAAGTGAACGTGATACCCGGGTTCGCGCTGCGCCTGTTTGCGGCAAGAAAACTTTCCCAAACTGCGTGGGATGACAAGGTTTAAAGCACCACCGTTACGCGCCTTTCGCGCGGAGGTGGAAAGAAGAGGGGAAGAGCCTGGAGGCAGGAGTTCTCTGGCTATCGCCAACTCACTGGGTGAACTTGACAAGCCTCCTCCCTTCCCTGGGTCTCGGTTTCCCCATTTGTAGGAGCGGGGTTTGGTTCCCGCGATAGAGCTCGTGGCCAGGGCCGTGAGAGCAGTAGGGCGCGCTCTTGACCGCCGGCGCTCCCCCCACCTGTTCACCGGCTCTGGGCCTGAGACGCTGGAGGCACAGCCGCGCATATCCGGAAGGGTTGCGGAGACCAGAGACTTTGGCGGTCCCTCTGACTCGGATCTTATACTAAGACCCAGTAGGACCCTCGGAAAGCCTGGGCAGTACACACCCAGGAAGCGCGCTCCACGGTGATTATGGGCATCTGTGCTGGGTGGCAGCCATCACCTTCGCAAAGAAGCTTGTGAGTCAAACAGCTTTAGACCCAATGAACTGAGCAGGGCTAGAGGCTCCAGTCCAGCCGCTCCCTGGCTTCTGTTTCCCCGACTATTTGGTGTCTGTGATGCTGCCTCGGAGCTCTGCAGGCACACCCCCTCCCCATCTTTTCTAGCCTTGACCTTGGCCCTCTCAAACTCTTGCATATTACCTGGCCTAAACTTTTCCCTGTAGAATCACAAAACCAGACCCTAATCCAGGTTCTGGGCCCTCAGTGGGGGAACCCAAAAAATTCCCATTTTTCACCCAGTGGTGACAAACATTTTGTTCCTGGCGAGGGGCTGCAGAGCCCCCTGCTCAAGGTCACACGCTGCTGGACATGCCAGGCAGTCTCCACCAGCCTTTCTCATGTCTTTCCTGACACTTCCTGCTGCTCAGGCAGGTCTTGGGGATCTGTTCAACACCCCCTGTTCTTTGGTCTGCTGCTGTCCAGGACTTCCCCTTGCTCAGACAATAACGCCCTCATCCTGAAGTTTCATTTTTGTTTCTACTTTACTTTCTATCATATATTTTTTCCAAAGCCATCTTAAAGCCTCACAGAATTAAGAGGAAATGGAGACAAATAGTGAGGTTCTCATCAATTCGAGCAACACAACCAACAGGCAGAGAGTGAAAGCAAGGAGTGCTGTCACTTAGATGTGTTAATTCTATTTAATGAGCCAGTCTTGCAAACCCACGTTTTAGAAGATCCTGGCTCTTAAGTTCCTCCCAGCCTAAGTAGAAAGCCAGTGTCCTCTAAAAATAGCCTCCGCCCCACCTTATCAGGGTCTCACAGTTTCTCCCTCCTCCAGGGTTGGGCTGCTTCCTGCTGCTCAGCAAAAAAACCACAAAAACTAAGAGTAGGTAGTGGCAGCTCTGAGTAATGGGCTGACCTGGAGATTAGGACACCTGGCTCCAGCCCCAGCTCTGCCACCCACTTAGAGTGACCTTGAGCAATGAGGGGGTGGGCAAGATGCTTTCCAGTGGACCTGGAATTAAGAGGACTCAGAGCTTCCCTTGGAAGACTTTCTATCATGAGAAAAGTGAAGCGCCAGGGATGAAATCCAGGGGAACTCACCCTATGAAGAGGAAGGAAAGAACGGGAGAAACTGGTTCCCAAGAGCCAAGGGAGGAGAGAGATTGGCAGTGCCAGCTGGTGCAGAGAGACAGAGGGGAAGAGGACTGGGAAAGGGCCACCATGATTGGGTGACTTTGGCCAGGGCATTGCAGAGGGTTCAAAAATGGGATCTGCCACTGCTTTACTGAAGCCAGTGACCCAGCCTGTCTGAGCCCGTTTCCTCCTCTGTACAAGGGGATAATAATAGCATCCATTTCAGATGGGTTGCTGTTGGGATTAAGGGGGATGATGCAGGGAAAGCCCTTGGTCCTGTGCTTGGTACCTGCAATGATGTTAATGCTAGCGAGAGGAAGAAGAAGCTAATGGGAGCCGAAGATTTGGAGACAGAGCCCACAGCTCTTCTAAAAGCTTGGAGGAGAAAGGAAGGAAGAGAGAAGGTAGTAGGAGCTGGAGACAGGGCCGAAAGGGGAGGCGGGTGTTTCTGGGCTGAGGAGTGTGAAAAGAGGCAGAGATAGACCTGGGAGAGGGGAAGAGGTGAAAAGAGCATCTAAGGGACATGCACATAGGAGGACTGAGGGCCTTCCTTAATGACCTGCTGAATGTCACAGGCTTCAAAATCACATTCCTCTAGATTCAGGCTGAGCAAAGAAAGGGTAAAATGAAGCCAGTCCTGGCTCAGACCCTGGTGTCCTCTTGGGAGACTTCAGTATCTGTGAAGGAGGGTGGTGATGGGCCGCAAAGGGTAGTTTGACTCTGTCCAGGGGGCTCACGACCTTGGCTTGCTTGTTTCTGAAATGACGTCATGTATCGATGACTCCTGCTGAGCCCAGTCATAATGACCTTTTCCAGTCAGTGTTTTGATTTTTCTGTCTTACTAATGGACCAGCCAGGCTGCCAACATTTCTAAAGAGGCCAGTTCACTCTTCACTTAAAGCCAAAACACCAAGTAGATCAATTATTTGGCTGCTAGGAGCCATTATCAGTTTAAAGCGACAGGCTTGTTTGTATGGAAAAACATGAAGCAGATGGCATAATTTGGGGACCATTTCCTGTCTCTTGTTTTGTTTTGTAAAATCCTCCTTTGGTTAATCATGACAAAACCAGACTTTCTTTGCTCTTAATGATAACGAAAGAATGAGCTCACTGGAGTCAACCTAGGACAGTCTAGGAGGTTTTCTTCGATGTTAGGAGGTGCTGGATCTGTTTTTGATCTGAAAAACGAAACAAACTCAAGCATTTCTTTTGTTTCTCCTTTTCTTACATCCTTTCTCTCGGAGAAAAAGAGATTTGTGAAAGTGCTGTCTCTGTTTCAGTTCTTCCTTCTCAGATCCCCAGCCCCAGCCACCGCTCACTCCGGGGCTTCTAGGGAGGTGTCTCCAGGACTGTTCCTGGGAGATGATTCTTGTGGGTGATGAGGCAGAAATCCTCTTGGCCTCACTCAGCCTCCTTCATGGACTCATCTCTTCACATCCCTTAAATATTAGTGCCACTCTCAACCCTATTCCTTTTCACCCCACACCCTCCTATAGTCCCATCCACTCCCAGGGCTCCCACTACTCCCTATACACTCAGAACTCCCAAATTCCTGTGTCCAGCCTGGACCACGCTCCTCAGCTCTAGGCATCCGTGACTCCAGCCTAGGGGACAAAGCCAAGAGGGTGTCCCAAAGGCACTTCACACCCAACAGGCCCAACTCAGGCTCACCACCCAGTCTCCCTCCAGGGTCCCCCCTTCTTGGTTAACAGTAACACCATCCACCCAGGCTCTGAGCCAAAAACCTCCATACCTTTCACCACCCCATTCATTTGGTGAAAAGTCCTATCAATTCTACCTTCCTTAACATCTCTTCTATTCATCTCTATCCCCAGTCGAGTACTTTGTCATCTCTCGCCCTGAGCTATTAGCAGAGCCTCTTAAGAGTCTTTCTGCGCCCGTCTTTTCTCTCTCTCTCTTTTTTTAACCCCAGTCTTTTCTTCTCATGCTGCTGTTAAAAGAGTTTTGTGAAACGTAGCTCGGATAGTGTTATTCCTCTTCATTCAGGGATTCCCCATTTCCTACCAGATTCCTTGGCATCCGACACGAGGACCATCTAAGATGTGGCCCCAAGCTACTTCTCCAAACCATCTCCTGACATGCCCCCCAGTTCTCTACACCTGGTCATGGTGCAAGCATATGTGACTGCATGCCTTGCTGCCTTTGCCCCTGCTGTTCCTTCTGCCTGGAATGCTGTCCTCTTCCTTCTCAACCTGGCAAACTTGTAATCCTCCTTTAAATCAAAGCGCCTCATTGCCCCACCTGTGCTCCCACAGCCCCCTGAATGGACCTCAGAGAACCAGCCATAGTGTGTTCTAAGTGTGACCAGCTGCTTACATCCTTATCTCTGACTAGACTGATAGATCCTTGAGGGCAGAGTTCATGGCTCATTTACTGATATTTCTGCTTCCCCAGTGTCGGGCTCAGAGCTCAGCGCTTGGCAGAGTGCAAGGATTTTATGTTTTAATTCGTGACTGATCACTGAATGAAAGAATATGTAAAAGACTAAGCAAATGAAAGCCCTGAGGTAACCGTGACAATCACACAACATTATCTACATGTTTTCCCATCCCACCACCCCGTCAGCTCCGTGAGGGCAGAAACCACACCTGTTCTGCTCCCCACCAACCCTGCAGCCCCTCAACCCCCTCACAATAAATAGAATGAACCCATGATCTCATCTGAAACTCACAGTAATCCTGTAAGGGAGGAAGGGCCGGTATAATGACCCCTTTTTATAGATAGCATAGTGAACCCCAATAGGAATTATTCCAGGTCATCCAATTGGGATGTGTATTCCAGAAAAACCCAAGTGCTCTCCAGGGTTTGGTAAACTTGAGAAATCAGA